AAAAAAAAGAAAGGACATGAAGGTGAAGGGGAGCAGTATTTGGGAGAAGGGTCCAAGGGGTCTGGGAGGGGGTATTTGAGTTATATATGATCAAGATACATTCTATATGTGTGTGTAATTACCAAAATAGAATAAAATAAACTCCATGCTTCCTGAGCATACTAAGAATCAGGAGACTGAAGGATCTTGAAATTTTGAGGATCAAAGTTCTTCGTTCCTCACATGACATGTATAACTTTATTTTGAATTACAGCTTTCTGCGCATGTTTTATCTCTTTTACATGACAAGAGCCTCAGAATCCACTCCCTATCTGGAATGTCTTGTAGATATTTATTTCATATGAAGTGACACACAAAAGAAATGTCTAATGCCAACTCCCTGATGGCTATGTTGAGTGAACGGACAATGAAGTGAATCTACTCTTAACTAGTTCACAAGCTACATGAAGAAACTGAAGTTCAGGGACCCGCTCACCCAAGGTCATGTCAAAATGCAGCCCAGGAAGCTAGCTTGGTGGTGCATGCCTATAATCCCAAGGCAAGGTGGAGGCCAGCTTACATTACATTGGGAGACCCTGTCTCAAAAAGGAATAAAAATAAAAAACAGCCAGCCATGGTGATGCACGCCTTTAATCCTAGCATTTGGGAGGCAGAGGCAGGTAGATCTCTGTGAGTTCTAGACCAACGTGGTCTACATAGTGAGTTCTAGGTCAGTCATGGCTACATAGTGAAACCCTGTCTCAAAAAAAAAAAAAAAGAAAGAATGATGAAGGAAGAAAGGAAGAAAAACACAGCTCAGGGATAGGCACTTGGAGACACACAGTACTTATCTGATGAAAGAGTTGGTGGTCTAGCCAGCATTGAAAACCAGTCAAGGGGCCCCTAGTGTAGATTCAAGAAGTCCTGGATGTAAGCCTGTGTCCCACCCACTGCTGGGCAGTACCTTCTGCAACAAAGAAACTTCCCTGACCTAGAAATGAACCTGGGCTGACAACTGAGGACCAGACAGGGCTGAGTTGCCTGTTGCACGCACCCTGTCTAACACATGCTGGTGGAGTGGCCCTGAGGCCTGCTGGGTCTGGGAAGCCATCAGGCATAGGAAGTTATTGAAATTAAAATTAAGGCCAGTGAGATGGCTCAGTGGGTAAAGATGCTTGCCACCAAATCTGATGACCTAAATTCAAACCCTGTGACCCATATGGTGGAAGGAAAGAACCAGTTCCTGCAAGTTGTCCTCTGACATCCACATACATGGCATAGCATACATATACCCACTTACAAACTAACAAACAAACAAACAAACAAGTAATATAATATGATATAAAACAGTTTAATTAAAATTAAGTGCATTTTAAATTAAAATTCCATTGTTCAGTTGCAGTAGCCCTGTTTCACATGTTCAGTTGCCACAGGTATCTGGTGGTTACCATATTGGATAGCATCAGTACCAAACATTCCCATCACAGCAGAAATCCTATTGTACAGAGCTGGTCTAGAACCACTACACTTGCATTTTAATATTTTATTATTTTTATTTTTTATGTGTATGAGCGTATTGCCTGCACGCATGTACATGCACCTGTGTTGTGTTGTGCAGTGCCTGAGGACATCAGAAAAGGGCGTCAGATCCTCTGGAACTGGAATTATGGACAGTCGTTGGTCACCATGTGGATGCTGGGAATCAAGTCCGGGTTCTCTGCAAGAGCAGCCAGTGCTTTTTAATTGCTGAACCATCTCTCTAGCCCCTAGAGCCACTATACTTGTAAGGGTAGGTCTCTCTGTCTCTCTCTGTCTCTCTCTGTCTCTCTCTCTCCCCCTCTCTCTCTCTGTAAAGCTGTGACTTACTTTACAACAACTGTAAAAATATCATCTCACTTATACCTTACAACAGTCCTTTGAGACAGGTACATTTTTCATTCTCATTTTATAGGTGTTGAGCTACTTTCCCAAGGTTACTCAGTAATGATGTGTTAGAGGCAGGAAGGTGATCCTGGTCTTTCTATTCTCTGCTGAAATGTATCAGTTTTTCAGGTTAGTTTCCAAGATTTATATTCTTTTTAAAAAATATTTTCTTTATTATTTTTATTTTATGTGTATGAGTGTATTACCTGCATGTAAGTGCATATGTGTCCTGTAACGTCCATGGAGGTCAGAAGAGGGTGTAAAATTCCCCTGGAACTGGAGTTATGGGTGGTTGTCAGCTACCATGTAGGTGCTGGAAATCGAACCTAGGTCCTTTGCACAACCAGCCAGTGCTTTTAACAGCTGAGGCAACTCTCCAGCCCCTGCACCTTAATTTTTGAGACAGGGTCTCTAACTGAACCTGGACCTCACCAATTTGGCTAAACTATCTGGTCAGCAAGCCCCAAGGAGCCTCCTGTCTCTGCCTCCCCAGTGCTGGGATTACAAGCACGTACTGCTATTACCTGGCTTTTTATGTGGGTGCTGGGGATCCAAACTCAGAATTGCTCAGCAGGCACTTTACCCATTGAACCATCTTCCCAGCCCTGTTTCTTCCTATTCTTAATCACTCATTATGAACACTGATGGATCAGAACAAACAAACCAGCAGGTTTAAGAGAGGGTTCCAGAGCAGCCATGATGGGCAGCGGCACCCAAGGAGGCTCTAGGATAGAGCTACATACCAGCCTGTTCAGAACTACTTCAATATGTTAAGAGCTGGTGTAGCCTTCCCAGAGACATCCATCTGTGCCAAGTGGTATGTCTGGCAGAGGGGTTCCTGAGCCAGTAAGACCCAGGGCTTTTCAGGCAGGGCTATGCTGGTCAAGGAAGCCCATGTAGTCCTGCCAAGGCCTCACCTGGCACAGCCAAGGCCACTGTGTCTGTTCCTCCCATGCAACTCACCGGGGGGCCTCTTTTGCCTCCTCGATGGGACACCAGGCAGAGACTTCACAGGTCTTCTTGTCCCCTTTGTATGTTATACATCTGCCAGTCTGGATTCCTACAAGGACCAAGGGATTGAAGAACCACAGATGTGAATGTACCATGAAGAGGAACATCTCCAGAGGGTTCCATGGACTCAGCCAAAGACTCTGCACTCCACAGCCCAAGCAGCTTCAAAATCTGTGAACCTCGTCCTCACCACACATGTACCCCAAGTAAAGTGAAACACTTAATAAGTCGTTAAAAAGGCCCAGAGAGGGCCGGGTGTAGTGGCGCACACCTTTAATGCCAGCACTTGGGAGGCAGAGGCAGGCGGATCTTTCTGAGTTTGAGGCCAGCCTGGTCTACATAGTGAGTTCCAGGACAGCTGGGGCTACAGGGAGACCCTGTCTCAAAAAGACAAAAAAAAAAAAAAAAAAAAAAAAAAAAAAAATGAAGAAGAAGAAAAGGCCCAGAGAGAGTACAGAAAAGTGCTGGTGCTTTGGCTTCCTTGCAAGGGGAATTGCCCAAGAGGAGAGCTCAGTACCCACAGACTATAGAATGTGGCTTCTCATGTGGGAATGTGAGTGCCACAGCGTGTCAGTGGGTGTGAAAAAAATGAAGTTGGGGCATCTTCCTGGAGTGTCAGGAAGAGGGAGAACTGATGAAGGGCAAACCATGTTTCAGTGATTGATCTGCTAACTCAGACCCACGTTATAGAATAGAACTCAACACTGGTGCACCTTTCTGTGAGTGGGCTTTGTAAACACTGGTGGCTCTTAATTCTTTGTCATATGCCTTTTAAAGTTAAAACACGAGATAAGGTCTTTCTATGAGGCTATGGTAGAGCACTTGTGTAGCCTGCATGAGGCCCTGTGTTCAATCTCTAGTACATTTTTTTTAAAAAGGTTAATATGGGTTTTATCATCAGGTCCCTGTAGTTTCAAGTTCATGCTTCTCCATTTTTGGGAAAGTTTAGAGGCAAAGTTTAGAATACTACAGTGATGTAATAGGCCAGGTGATTTTTCCAACGATTAGACCCTGAGCATGCCAATTCCCTCCATTAGATTGGCCTGTGAGCATGTCTGTGGGGCATTTTCTTTTCTTTTTAAAAAATATTTTATTTATTATTTTTATTTTATGTGTATGCATGTATTGCCTGCATGTAGGTAAGTGCACCCATGTTGTGCAATGCCCATGGAGGACAGAAGAGGCTGTCGAATCCCTTGGAACCGGAGTTATCGAGTTGTTAGCTGCCATGTGGGTGCTGGGATTCGAACCCGGGTCTTTTGCAAGAACAACCAGTGTTCTTAACTGCTGAGCCATCTCTCCAGCCTGCATTTTCTTTTTTAAAATTTATTTATTTTTATTTTTGTGTATGAGTGCTTTGCCTGCACTTGTGTTGTGCGATGCCTGTGGAACTGAGTCAGAAGAGGTAGGTGGGTGCTAGGAACTGAACTCAGGTCCTCTGCAAGAACATCCAGTGTTCTTAATCACTGAACCATCTCTCCAGACCCTGAGGCATTTTCTTTATGGCTAATTAATGTAGGACAACCCAGCCTATTATGGGCAATAATATCCTTAAGCAACTTCTCTGATTGGAAAATTGGAGTCACACTCAACAGGCGGCAGCTTGTCTGCTGGGAAGAGCGCCAAGGCAGGGGACAACCTTTCTCTGAGGCTTGGTTGTGGCAGGCAGCTGAGAGCCAGAGGCTAAGGATCCACAACTGGGCATCATAAATGTCACCAAGATGCTTGACCAACCACCCTCAGCCATTCAAGGAAAGACACAGAAAATACCTTTGCTTTGTGGGTCCATCCATCCCTTTTTACAATTCCGGTCAGAGGAACAGAGTGTCCTGCGGGTGGGAAGCTACAGGGAGAAGGACAGGAGAACAGGGTGAGCATCATGAGCCACTAAGATATGGAGAAGCTGACATGAAACCCTGCTCACCACCGTTCATCACAGAACTACTCACAATGTGAGAAGGTGAGAGACAAATCCATCAGAGTGTGAAGGGACAAAAAAGGTGGTATGTTCATATGTGGAATGTGTATGTGTTTGTGTGTGTGGTCTAAGCATGTGTATATGTTCATGTGTGTGCACGTGAAGGCCACGTCAGTGTTCAGTGTCTTCCATGATTCTCTACCTTATTTGTTGAGACAGAGTCTCTCAGTGAACATGGAGCTCACTAATTTGGCTAGGTTGGGCCATTGAGACTGAGGGATCCACTAGTCACTACCTCCCTAGCACTAGGATTACAAATGTTCACCACTGTAGCTGGCTTTTTACTTTGGGTGCTGGGGATCGAACTCAGGTCCTCATGCTTGTGTGCCAAGCATTTTACTGGCTAAACTATCTTCCTAGCCCCTATACGTGGTATCTTGTTCAGTCAGGTGCTGACAATGCTAAACCGTACATGGGCCTTCAAAACAGGATGCAGTGAAAGGAGCCAGACTCCAAAGGCCATGTCCTATATGAGTCCATTTGTAAGAAATGTTCTGAGTAGGCAAAACCTGTAGAGACAGAAAGTACACTGGTGGTAGCTAGTGGCTGGGGGAGGGGGGCACAGAAACTTATTGTTAATGGGAACAAAGTTTCCTTTTGGGGTAACAAATATTCTGGAATTAATCTTGGTGATGTTTGCACACATTGCAGATATCACTGAATTGTAACTTTGAAGTCATGAGTTTTATAGTATATGGATGATATAGCAACTTAAAAGTAAGAATGAATGAAATATAAATAGCAGGTGTCAAGGCAACTATCAGAGATGGTCATTGCAGTGGCGAGCAGGTGGCAAGGTCCTAGTAGCCCTGGCACCAAAGAACTAAGTGAACAGGCAGGTGCCAAGAGGCAGCCCGCAATGTGGGAAGAAAGGACACTGCCAGCATGCTGGCTGGAGAAAATGAGGCCAGCTGTCTCAGAGCTGAAGGACAGAATGAGGAAAGGGAAACAACACGGCCTGGCATATGCATCTTTGACTTCCCATGGTGGTTTTGTCCTGGTTAAGTGACTGTGGCCACTTCACCTCTCCACGCTTCATTTCCCTCCTCTATTAAAGGAGGCTGTGCAGATTTGCCTTGTGTGGTTGCTGGGAAGATGGCATGAGCAATGGAAAGGGTTTCACATGCAGTACTTGCTCAGTGAACAGTTCCATGGTTTTCAAACCCTCATGTTCTTACTGTCTGGATCCTTCTTTCTGTGAAAGAAAGACCCACCAGGCCCCTGATTTCTTCTCCTTGTGACACCCTAAATTAGACTCTTGGACTGCAAAGCCTAGGTCAAATCTTTGTAGCCTGACTACCTGCTTGATACATAATAGGCCTCCATAATCATTGAATGAATGAATGAGATTGAATAATCATTTACTGTGGCTCTTAGACAGTTATGTGATTTTCATTATCAACTAGAAGGAATTCCTAGAAAAGAAGAGAAACCAATTCTATTTTTAACTCTAAAAGAAATTCTAAAGGCAGTAGCAATAAAATCATTTTGTGATTGGTGCATGGATTAGAGAAGTTCTTGGTCTCTCTCCTGAATAAGGGGTGGAGTATTTCCCTCCTTTTGAAGCTGAACCTATGCTCTGATCACAGAATTAATGGGGGAACAAAAGCAACATGAGGCCAACTCCAGACCTAAGCCTTAGGAAAGCCTGAAACCTTCTTTGTGTTTTGGCTCTAGGGTGCCAGAGCTGTAGTTTGGAAGTTTGGCTACTGTCTGGAGCCAACATATGGAAAGACCCTAGTGAGAAAAGTTGTGAGAGTTCCTGGAAGTGAAGAATGGCCCATCATTCTGAGCCTCCACATGATGCCAACCCCAGCTGCTGTGTGTGTCAGTCCTGAGGGAAACAAGCAAAACCAACAAGTCCAGGTGGATTGACCTAGGCTAGCTCCCAGCACAGGCCAAAGTCCCCTCCCACAGAGTCATGTGGTATCCTCCTGGCTGGCAGTGTCCCACAGAGTTCTTGGGCTTTAACTGTCTAAGTGATCATTCTGTGAGTTTGTTCTGTCTTAACAGCTCACATTTATTGGAGACTTACAATGCACCATGCTGTCTTACATTCATCCAGCTGCCCACTCACTTGTTTCAGCAATTCAAGACCGGGTTTTGTAAATGGGCCCTTTTGCAGATGAACACATCAAGCCTCAGAGAGGGGAAGTCACTAACCTGAGGTCACCGAGCCAGTAAGTCACACTTGAACCTTTAACAGTCTAGCTAAGCCCAGTCTCTGCTGCCCCTAATCTGCTTCCTTATAAGTGTCAATAACCTGAGAAGTGTCTGGGTACACACAGGAGTAGATTGTGGCCCAGTAGACTGGAATGTGGGACAAAAGATAACTAACCTCCAGGGAAGGGAGTGATCAGCTATACTGACTGTCAACTAGCTTGTCAGATCCACAGGGCACTTAAGGGGACAAATAAATAAGCAGGGGCCTCTCTTTAGGAGGAAGATCATGGAGACATCTGGAGGGAAATGTCAGCCTGTTTCCAAGTTTGGGAATATTGCTTTACTTAGAACTCATAGATGCTCAGAAAGCTTGGTCTTGTCACAAGAAGGGGTAGAATGTGTTTCTTCAGGTCAGGCTAGTCCCACCATAGACAGGAGACCTGGCTGGGCATGCCTCCCTTGCTCCCCACCATGATGGCTTCCCATCCTGTTGGGAATAGTCTCTGGTAACAGTCTAGCTTCTAAGCCTAGTCTCTGCTGCCCCTAATCTGCTCCCAATCAGGGCAGAGACGGGTCAAAACTAGTGATGGTGCTGCTGTAGACCAACGAGAACAGCAGAGAGTGGAGCTAAAGAAGGATTTCAGGAAGAAGGCAAAGTAGGAAAAGGCTGGGAGTGGGGTGGGGGCATGACACTTGATGTAGAGGGTGAGGTGAAGAACAGGCCAACTTGACCTATTTGACAGTGTTCCCTGGGACCAAACCTGTAGACAGTTCCCAATGAGCCCTAGAAGGAGAGACTGTGAATAAGGGCAACCAGATTCTAAGCCTGGCTCTGTCTCCAGCAAGCTGTGTGACCCCTTGGAAAGTCGTCTACCCTCTGTGTCTGTGTTCTGATGTGTAAAGTAGAGTCTAGGATGCTGTTATCCTCTTGAAAGTGTGAGGCTTCAATGAAATGGAAAATTAGTCATGCAAGTGCCAAGGATCACATTTTCCTGAACTGCCTAGGGAGCCCATGATGGAAAGAGCAGGTATCCACACAGGCCCCTAGTGCTGCAGCCAGAGACTGAGGTGAGCAGGCAAAAGATCTGTCAGGTTCGGAAACATATATCACCGGCGACCCCTCTGAGTGTGTTCCTTGCTTACCTCTGGACATAACCCCTGCTGTTGACTTTCTGTCTTGAGAAAATTTGTCATCACAAAGAATGAGTTCCCCTGCAGAGAAAAATGGAGGAGTAAAGGCAAGACCTTGGAGAACAGAACGACTTAAACCTCAGAATATAGCTTGCTAAGTGCCCGGGGGCGAGCCTTTGCACTCCTTTAAGCCTCTAGAAATCAGAGCTGTGGGCATCATGGCCTATGCCAAGGGCTTAATATCAAAGCTTCATGAGCCGTCCCACTGGGCTGAGGGGGAGCAGAGGAACATTCAAATGGATGGAGCAGTCATTTTCCTATTCAACCTCAAAAGCAGCTGTGTCATTTTTCTGACACAGTAAAATCGCATTAAATTGAGACTCTGGAGAGCTGGGGAGGTGGAGGTGGGGTATAGGCTGTACCCTGGGAAAGCTGTTCAGATTTTCCAGGGCTTAATGGAAGGACTATGGGGCTTCCTACCACCTGGGCAATCACTAGCTTTTAATAGCCCATGGCTAGAAAGCACCAGCTTGGCTTGACTGGGGTTTTGCCAAGTGCTCTGGCTCCCTAGGGTTGCAAATCGGCTCCTTTGCCCTTCCCGCCCCCATCTGTTCCTTGGCTCCTCGACCCTCTTTTATTTCTCCTTTTTGGTAACTGCTTTCCTTTTCCCTGATTACAAACTGAGCTAGCCACACACATTCTGTGAATATACTTTTCCTGTTAGCCACCCACATACTTTCTTGATAAAGACTCAAGAAAGGTCTCCTAGAGACATTTTCAGTGACAATAGGCCACACAAACCATGCCATAGAAAGGCTGGTGTTACCTTCCTGGCAAGCTCTCTGCCCTTCTGAATCCAGGCAGAGCTTGCTGATGTGGTGGCCTTGCTTCTAAAAGCTGTGTGTAGATCAGTGTGAGTGAATCAGATGATGTCTGAAATGCACCAGGACAGGCTGCTATTTTGAGCAGCCCAGTAGGACTCAATAAAGCAAAGATACATCTTTGAGCTGCTGGATCCGGCCCAGTTTTGCAATTTTTAGATTTTCTCAGTTGGGATTTTCACAGAGCTTTTAAAATAGGGCCAATGATTTCATTTCTGTTTTTTTTTTTTTTTTTTTTTTGAGACAAGGTCCTGTGTAGTTCAGACTGGCCTTGAACTCACTAATGCAGTTGAGAGTAACCTTGAACTCCTGATCCTCTTGCTTCAACCTTCTGGGGTTACAGGCATGCACCACCACATCTGGTGTTATGTGACTGAACCTGGGCCTTCATGCATGCTAGGCAAACACTGTATCCTCTGAGCTATATTCTCAGCCCCAAGCCAACAATTTTTGAAGTGAGTCTCTAGGCACCAGGGAGGGGGTGAGTCAGTGACCAATGACGAGTCCCAGGTGCTCACCTGCAAAGGGAAGGTGTAGTCTGCAGTGTCAAAGATGTTTTTCACTGACTTCTTCACCCCACCCTCAATGACATTCTCGGTTGCTTCTGCTATCCCTTTCACCTTGGTGTGCACGGAGCTGATGACGGGCTCTTTCCGCTGATATAGCTTGTCACTCACCAAGGCAAAGCTAAAGGGCAGAGAGAAAAGTATTAGTGGTTTCCTAACGATCCAGAGCAGTGGTTTGTGCTGCAGACTCAGGGAGGAACATCATGGGTTGCTTCTGTTTACATCCTGCTTCTGCCAGCAACCTGAGTCCCTGTGACTCACTTTCCCTCTCTGCAAACTGGGATCAGGAGTCACACCTCCCACCTTTAGCATTTCCTACCATAGATCCGAATCTTAACTAATCGTCCAGCCCTCGGTGGACTAAGCAGCTCTGTCCCAGGGCTCAGCAGCACACAGCTGTCTGCCTCTTGCTTCTGTTCATTAGATTTGATCTCCATTTTTCTGTTTTCCCTGTTGAACTGAAATAGCTTGTTTTAGGGAGCTAGGGAGATGGCTTAGTGGGTAAAGAGAGTGCTATGGAAGGCTGGTGATCTGAGTTTAGATACCCAGAACGTATGTAAAAGCTGAACACAATATGGCATGAATCTCTAATCCCAGCTGTCCTACAGGGAGATGGGAGGCAGAGACAGGAGACTCTCCAGAAGTTTGCAAGCTAGCCAACCTGGCCACTGCAAGAGCGAACAACAGATACTATGAACAGAGGTACTTGGTAAGGACTGACACCCTAGGTTGTCCTTTGACTTCCACACATTTGCCATGGCATGTGTTTGTGCACACACAAATACACAAAAGACTTTTTAAAAGCTTGTCTCAAATATTTCATTTACTCACCCAGCATCTACTGGTTCCATTCCTCTTTCTGCCCACCCCTTTGTGATGTTCTCGGGACATAAATCCAAGCCACGGATTGCCTTCCATGAGCTAAGACAGAGTAGACTGAGACATGGTACTGGCTGAGCAGAAAACCACCCAGCGAGCTTTCAGACTTGTAGCTCTCCAGTCTTATCCCTATGACCATGACCCAGATAGGTCCGTGGTTCAATGTGGTCTTTAAGTGTTCCCCAAGTGACTCTAATGCACAGGGTTGGGGGAACCACAGGAACCCATGAAGAGGCAGTTTCTATTTGCTAACAGCAAGTACCAGAGCATCTCTAGAGCCCAGTAATAAAACTCTAGGATATCTCTCTCTGAGTAGTTCCCACACCCATGATCAAGGAGCTGTGCAAAAGCGGGTTTGTGCAGCATTGTTTTCAGAGGGAAACTGGAAATGAGTTTGAGCTTTCTCAAACTCTGAATGGATGAATTATTGCATTTGTGGTACAGCAGTGAAAGTGAGCTGCCTAGGGCCGCTTGTTCTACACGGAGGGCATATCATGTGGAAGAAATGAAGCTACAGGATGATAAAAAGTTCAAAGAAAACAGCAGTATATGCTCAGATAGAGACGTACAGCAGCACTAGCCACAGTTGCCAAAAGGTAAAAATAACCTAAATTATCAAGTGACAAACATTTAGGCAAATTGTGGTCTATCTAGACAATGGAATATTATTCAACCATAAAAATGAATGAAGTACTGATGCATAGGAAATGTAGGTGAACCTTGAAAACATTACTCTGATAAGTGAAAGAAATCAGACACAGAGGCCATCCCATTTATACGAAATATCCAGAATAGATAAACCCATTCAGACTAAGAGGGGTGGTAGCTAGGGGAGAAATGAGGCGTGACAATTAATGAGCATATGATTTTGATAGACAGAGGTATTTGTTATATAATGCTGTGTGCTAAATGCCACTGCCATTGTTGCTCTTAAAATAGATTTTTTTTCATTTCTTTCTTTGTCGTTAAATGGCCAATTTTATGTTGTATGAATTTCACCTCAATAAGTAAGATAAAAATTATGTTCTAGTTTGCTTTATATTGCTGTAATAAAACACTGACCAAAACTAACTTGGGGGAGGAAAGGATTTATTTCATCTTAAACTTTTTTTTTTTTTTTTTTTGTGCTCTTTTTGAGACAGGGTCTCCCTGTAGCCCCAACTGGCCTAGAACTCACTTTGTAGACCAGGCCAGCCTTGATCTTAGAGAGATCTGCCTGTCTCTGCCTCCTGAGTGCTGGGATTAAAGGTGTGCACCATCACTCATAGCAAATTATACATGTAAAAATATATTTTATTTATTATTTTTATTTTATGTATATGCATGTATCGCCTGCATGTAGGTAAGTGCACCCATGTCACGCAATGCCCACAGAGGACAGAAGAGGCTGTCAGATCCTCTGGAACTGGGATTATGGGCAATTGTTAGCTGCCATGTGGGTGCTGGGATTCAAACCTGGATCTTCTGCAAGAATAACCAGTGTTCTTAATCGCTGAGCCATCTCTCCAGGCCTCAAATTATACATTTTTATAGACACAGACATATGTTTGTAAAAATATCAAAGCAAAGGACTAAACATCAAATTCAGGATGATGTTTACAAGGAGAGAGGAGATAATAGGACGAAAGGTGGACTCATAGGGAGCAAAGCTGGATTAATATATTCTGTTTCTTAAACTGCATGGTGGCACCTAGCTATTACATAACTCATGGTATATTTTAACATGTCTCTGACAGTCATTAAAAGAAAAATGTTGGGCTGGGGAGATGGTTCAGTGGGTAAAGGCGCTTGTTTCTAAGACTGATGACTCAAGTTCAATCCCCAGAACCTATGTGGTGGGAAGAGAGAACTGACTTCTGTAAGTTGTTCTCTGATCTCCATATGCACACACACACACACACACACACACACACACACACACACATACACACACACACACACATGCACCATACTAAATAAATATTTTTTTTTAAAGAAAGATGTTAGGTCTAAAAATCTACCCAATCAGCATATATGACACAGATCTTAAATAGAATGCTGTAGACAAATACAGTCATGTTTGTTCAGTCAACACATACAAAACACATGCAATGTTCTCTCACGTTACACACTGTAATATCATCCAAAACTAACACTTGCTCCACCATTTGGGAAGCTCATTCTGATATGTCATATCCATTGTACTGTGTAATACTTGATTATCTTTAATAGACTCCAACCCTCTCAAAAGTGCAAAGGCTTTGCAATCATAATGAACCTTTGTCACAAGGAACATGAAAATTCTATTAACATGCAGAGAGATGCATCAAAGGAGAAGGAAAGTCATGCACTCTTGATTTGTGTGGTGTCTCAGGAGCTAAGTCACCTCTCTGGCCCATGAGTTTAGTCCTTGAATGAGGCCATAACTATAACTCTCTAGTCATTAACCCTTATGACCATTAGCTCTAAGAAGCAACTATTTTCTATGTATTCAGCTGCATGCAAAGCCGCTGGTCCCTGGAGCAAATGGTGTTAAGGAACCGGGGATCTAGCTGAGTCTGGGTAAAACTGAGAGGTGGGGAGAAGAGCTGGACAGCCTAGAATGTTCAGAAGAGCTGACAGAGGAGAAACCAGGGCCATCCAAAGAACTTTTCAGGCCAGTCTGGCCAAAGGAGAGGATGTAGAATGGAGGAGCAGGGGTAAGGCGGAGCGGGAGAAGGACGTTAGGCCATGGAGCCTGGAGACTGGCTCTTGCTTGACTCACCAGATATAGATGCAGGTGCCCACCAGGAAGGCATTCTTCAGAGTCCCAAATCATATGCTTTGAATTTGAAGGACTCTCACAGACTTATATCCACACAACTGGCTCTCTGCCAGCATGGTGAGCTGGTTCTCAGAGCTCAGCAGAAAGTGCCTTCAGCAAAGTCTGTCTGTCCCTTACAGAGCCTGGGTTCTGAGCACAGGTACTAAAGTGAAAGGAAAGCTCTGAGAGCAACCAGCCTTCACATTTGTTTAACCCACGCCCTGCCGGGTCCTGACTTCAGTCTTCGCTCCCTGTCACCTGTTGTACAGCAATTTCCTTAGAGATAAAACCTTCCATCTTGAAGGGAAGCTGAGTAAACAACAAGATGCTCTTAAAGGAAGGTAAACAACAGGATATTCTTTTTTTTTCTTTTTTAAGAAAACTTTATTGAGAATTTCATACATGCATATAAGGTGCTTTGATCAAATCCATGCCTACTCCCTCCCCTCTAACACCTCCCATATCTCCCAATCACTTTTTTCTTACAACTTCATGTATTTCCTTTCCTTTCCTTTCTTCAGTGGGGCTTTTTGCTACTCTTAACATTCCCCCTCTCTGAAGAGGTAACCCTAAAATCTTTTAGGGATTAGATAACATTCCATTTTTCAGGGAGCCCAGTAAGCAACTCAGTAGCTTCAAGAAGTCCCTGAAGTTGACAAGATTCACTAGGCTCCTCATCACTCAAGTATATATATATGATAGATAGATAGATGATAGATAGATAGATAGATAGATAGATAGTAGATAGATAGATAGATAGATAGATAGATAGATAGATAGATAGATAGATAGATGATGGATATCTCCTAAGGACTGCTGAGAGATGCTCTCAGAGCAGTCAAGCCACCAGGAAGCAACCAACAAGCTGAGCAACCAACAAGCAACCAACAAGCTGAGTTGCCTAGAGAAACTAAAACCAGCTGAACTGCCTGATCTAAGAGACTCAGACCAACTGAGCCACCTGCAAAGGACACTCTCCAGCCTGTTGGGCTGCCTGCAAGTTGTGCTCCAGTTTCCTACTTTTGTGAGCTGTCATCACCTATGCTGTGGTGGGCTTTTGGTGATGCAGCTGCTTGTCTTTTCTTTTCCTTAAGTAACTCTTCACCTATACTTCTATAACTAAACCAAATAAAACTCATTGGTTCACCAAGTCAGATTTCGGTGGTATCCTTACTTTGGTCTGTCGTTGCTTCCCTATCTGGAATGAGTAGACATTTATGCACATCTCCCCAGGAATAGTATAACGCAACAGCCCTCGTTCATGTTACCAGAAACACTGGCACGAGCATTTTCTCCCAGTAAGAGCACTAAGTCCTGAGGTGAAATACCAGGTTAAAGAGCATACACATTGCCGGATGTGGTGGTGCGCACTTTTAATCTCAGCATTTGGGAGTTCAAGGCCAGCCTGATCTACATAGTGAGTACCAGGCCAATTGGGGCTACAGGGAGACCTTGTCTCA